GCTGTGCCGGCGGAGCGGGCTGTGCCGGCGGAGCGGGCTGTGCCGGCACTCTCCGTGGCCGCGGAACGGGGACCCGAGCCCGCCTCAACCTGCGCTTTCTCCCCCCTGTAGCCCCTGCTGGAGGAGGTCGAGACGTGGAAGGAGTGTCAGCTCGTCCGGCAAGTGCGCGGCGAGGTGAGGAGGGAACCTTTCGCGGCTGTTACATTGCATCTCGCTTCTTGCCCTTGCAGATCTGCTCCTGGAGTTTTCCACCTGACTCACCACCCCCAGCCCGGCACGCTTTTGCTTTAAAAAATAATTGCTTTTGTATTAAGTATAAAAATATTTGTAGGGGCAAAAAACCCCAAGTGTCATTACTCTATGAAATAATAACAACCTCACCAGCCAAATTTGACGTTGGTAGTCTGGAACAACGTTTGAGTGAGTGGCTGGAAATAAATCTCTTACTTGAACTAGACGGTGTACGGGATAAAGCACAGAGATTTTGCGCAGGATTTTTGCACGCTGCAGTGATAACTTTCCATTTGGCAACCTGGCCTGGCATCAAACACGTTCTTTGTGCAAAAAACCTTAAACTGAAAGCTCTGAGATGAAGAACACCACCTCGCACTTGGTCCGTGCACAAGTAACTAAACAGATTGCCTAAGAGCACGCCAGTCTGTATGGAAAAAGTGTTCTTCCCTATCCAGTGAAGCAATTAAAAAAATTGTCTTCAGTCTCTTATAGCTTTTTACCAATACTGAGTAGCTGCACTCAGGTTGTTGTCTTCTTCCTAAAAAAGCACCATGGTTTTGAACTCCAGGTCACAAAATGGATTCAGACAAACCAGAGGGTCAGAAAAAGCAGCAAAAAGAAAAGAAAGCAGGATGAAGTAATTTTCCAGAAGGTAAGCGATCATGATGTCTGTTTGGGTAATGGGACAAAGGGCAGCAAATCCAAAATGCTTTCCGATTATGCCTCCCTAAGCTCTATAGTGATGTTATTTACCGTCTTTGACAAGGTGATAGTAAAGAAGGGTGTTACAGATAAAGTTTCACAGTCACTCTGTAGTTACAATGGCAAGAATTTAACAATCTTTTCAGATTGTTAGTGTAGAAGACAAAATTTTCCTATAATTATGTTTAACTGGACCATTCTGAGGAAGAAAGAGAAGAGTGCTTTCATCAGAGAAATATAGCACTTGAGAGCTTTTAACAGGACCTGCACCACTATTTTTGGATACTGGTAGCTGAGAAACAGTTTTCGCGGTGGATATTCAGACAATGATAGATGTGATGTGTATGTTGAAACAAATATTCAGCCTATGCTCTTGACTTCATTCAGAGTGTGAGTTTGAAAGTCATCTATTTGCAGTACAGATTTCAGTTAATGTCGATGTGTCTAGAAGGTTATTTTAAAAATTACTACAGAAGATTCTTAAACCTGAATGCAACTAAATTTTAACTATTTTTAACCAGCGATTTTGATTAAGCTATTATGAGAGACTTGTTCTTAACTTGCAATGTAGAGAGGTAAGTAATTAGATGATATTTTAACTAAATAGCTGTTTTCTGTCCTCTGAGGGAAAAATTTGAATAAAAAGTAAATAAAGATGCACTTCCAAATGCATTATTAGAACTATGGGGTTTCTACTTGCTTTGATTTTGCAACAAATTTATGATTGTTTTTTAAAACTCTTGTTACTTCTGAAGGATTAAAATAGCAGTGTGTTGCTTTGCTGTTTTGACAGTGCTTCTAGAATGCATGATGAATCATTGCTGTTTCTGTAGCCAAATTCTTGCTGATAGGATGGCTGCCAACTCCTGGGATGTGTTGCCTTAGTATGGACATTGCAACTCTATGACAAATGTCCTCAAAGTACCTTGTATAGGAGTGATTTACCAGCTCTACGGCTAGCTAAAAACCAGCAAAAAGCATCCTTTTATTCACTACTTGCATTTTGTAACTGGAAAACATAATTTAGGAAAGATGTTCTATGTTGTTGTACTTTAGAATGATGTGATTTAAACAGAGATAGCATAAACTGTTTCACTAGGTAATTCCATTTTTGTTTGTATTTCTGTATGTGAATGTTTGTTTGCATGTATGTGTAGCTATAGCAGGCATTAGTCTGTTCAAAAGTATTCTTGCCAGGAATTTTCCTGCAGTGGAGAGCAGAGTAATACCACGGTAATTTGAACAGTCTGATTTAATTCCTTTCTTCTTATACAAAGTGATGATGACTGCATCACGAAGGTCTGATTTTTATGTTAAGAGGTCTATCATTTTATGTTTAGAGGAATAAGACATTTTTAGGTTAAAAATTGTATCATCTTGGGAATTTGTGAGCAAAATGCACTGATAGGATAAATAACCCTAGTACAAACCATAGTCTACATACATTTTGAAGTAATTTTTAAACGGTACAAAGTAGATCCCGTGTTACGCCTGAACAGTAGGTTTAGAAGTGCCTTATGCTGTTAAACCAATCCTAATCTCTTATTATAGGAGAAAGCTTCCTTAGTACTTCCTTAGTACTGATAAAATTCTATTTCTGTTGCGGGAGTTGTTCTCCTGATGCTCTGTTTGTGAGAGAGAACTTAAGCACGTAGGCTTGCCATGTTAGAAATGCAAAACCTGATGTGTAAACCTAAGATATACTCATTGTTTTTCAAACAGCAGTTGTAGAGCAAGGTCTGTGAATTTAAATTGAAGGTGAGCATAACTGTTGTCTTCTAATATCCATAAGTATCCATATCCCGAGGATGCAGTGCAGCTTCCCAGTGCTGCATTGGCCGGGTACTTACCTACATGGGAAGGAAGAGGTAGAACAATAACCTCACATCTGGGACTAAACCACTGACTGACTAGTCACTGAGGTTGGAATTCTTTAAGTTGCATAGAAGTTTGGCCATTGCAATGGTGGTTTTCCAATACAATTACAGATGAGAGAATAGAAGAGAAGAAGGGCGAGGGACCTCCTGGAAGTGCTTCATTGTACTGTTTAGTTTCAGAGTTGGTTGCAGCTGAGTTTTCAGTGAGTGCTTATCAGTCAGTGCCATTCCCAGTCAGTGTGGATGGTGCTAACCTCTGTTCCACCGGGATTCTTGTTTTTTAGCTGTGTCCGTATTAGTTTTTAGGAGAAATGGTGGTATACAGCAGTTAAAGTATCTTTCAAGATAAAAAAGAGAACAAGAAAGAGAAAAGTGTGTAATGGAAAAGTAAGGCACCCTTTCAGAAAGTAGAGAGGTAGGAATAAAAGCATGGAGTGAAAAGAGGGAGCTGAGAAAGTGAGCAATAATAAACAGAGAAGTCAGAGAGTTGGTACCAGCTCATATCACAACTGTGATTAATGTAAGGATACTGATTTGCTACGTCTAGAAAACTGAGCTTGGCTTTAATCTTGTTTATCCTTCCCAAGCAAGCACAAACTTCTTAAATGTAGCTTCTAAACTTGCATGTGCCTGTGCTGTCCGATTTTCCTCTGTCATTTCTTTTCCTTGTGATAGGAAGTCCTATTTCTAATACAGATGGGTGACTTTACTATACTGATACAGCACCAAACCAAAGCAACTGCTGCATCCAAGTACAAAATCTAGGACAGAGAGGTAACTCTGTAGTAAAAAGTGAAAGAGAATTGTGAAGGAAAGGTTGCTGACAACTGCCGGGGAATTGTGTCTTGAAAAAGTTGCCTTCTAAACAGTTAAGTTTGTAAGAGCTGACTGTACTTACACTTAGGTTTATTTAAAGAACATTTGAAGATACCATGTGGTGGATAAGAACTACGTGACCAGGAGTGTGAACTGTGCTCAAGGGGCGTAGGAACCACTGGGGAAATTGTGTAGAAAGTTGTACTGGTTTCTGGTGTGGCCCCACATGTGGTGGATTAGAGCAGAGTAACAGAATCAGTGAGTGAGAGAGACTTTTACTCAGATAGCTGTGAGTTCTCATACTTTTGCTTTTCTTACATATTTGGGAGGGCGGTTGGGGTTTTTTGGATGGGGATTTCTTTTGTTGTAGCTTTTTTTCATTATTAACATTTTTGCTTATTTTTCACCCCTCTTTACTTTGTTTTCTTTAGACTCCTTTGGTTACCTTTGGTACTGCTCATTCCTTTCTATTTACTTTCAGTAACTTTATCTGTTTGAACAAAAAAAGGAGAAACAAGTTGAAAAATTGAAAAAAAGTTGTCATTTGCTCACCATGTTTTCTGTTTATAGTTCTCTATAAATACTCTTACAATGTGTGTATACATACACAAGTTTAAACACACTCACCCCTAGCATTCTTCTTTTGTCATTCTTCCTATTCTCTTATGTTTTTTACTCCTCATTTATTCTTGTGCTGTCTTTTCATCTTGTCATTTAGCTGCTCAGCACAGTTAGCAATCAGAATGTGTACCAATACAGGATGTGAAATTTAGAGAAGGTATAACAGAGCTTGGAAAGAATTGTTCAGTTAAAATTAGCATTGTTTTATTATGAAGAGTGTGAAATAAATATTAAGTGTTATTATTATTTTTGTTGTAATACTTGAGTGTATCTGCTTGAACCAGTGTTGAATGTTAGGCAGAAGAAAATAACCTTTCAGTCAGCCCAGTGGAATTGTAGCATGCAATCTGTGTCCACTGTGGCATTTGAGGGGAAACATTTTTCGTTAGAAGACCGATTCACTTTTGCTTGACTTTCAGTCTTAAAACATAAAAGCTGCTTTGAAAATGTTCCAGTGGTATAAAAAGTGTAATAGGATGAGACACACGGTATACAGATACCCAGTATTTAGGAAAAACATTAAAATATGTGTGTGTGTGTGTGTGTGTGTATATATGCATATATACACACAGTAGGTAAGGAAAATGTTTCTTGCAAATTATCAAAATTGCATTTGTCTGTTTCAGTTTTATTTCGATTGTATACTGAAACGTTGAGGAGTAATTCAACGTCACCAGAATAATTTCTGCTGCTTTCTCAGAAATAATGTTTTAATGTGTTTAAAGTTTGTCTGCTGGTTTACCAGCAATGTGACTGTCATTTGATTTTTTTTCTATTGGTTATTGTTGTTGATCATTTGTCTTGCTCCAGAGATTTGCTGCTGTCCGTATTTAAGCTCTATGAATAACCTGAGCAAAAATGACTGTTGAAATGGCTGTTAAGTTTCTAATAAAAAAATAAAAACCCCAAAAGAGTTGTGATATATATGACTAACGCTAAATGCTGTAACTCTTTTGTTCTTTAACAATGAATTCACAGTGTAACTGAAATACAAGAAACAAATCTTATAATTCACTAAAATGAGTCTTCTTGATATACTTTAAGTAGAAAATGTTTTGAAGTCTCAGAAAAAGTATTGATTAAAAAAATTGTGTGGTGTAAGAGAGCTCTTTGTTAGGGAATTTTATTCAGGATGATGTGTTTCTGCTAATTCAGGTAAAGACTATTAATATATAGTGCATTAAAATTACTTAAAATCCACAATTGCCGTGTATTTTTTTGTTTCTCAAAATGAATGTTTTTACCTGAATCCAACAAACTAAGAATCAAAGCAAGGATCAAATCTGAAATAGTCCCAGATCTTGTGCACTGCGTAGTGCTTAACAGCTAAAAGAAACATGGTGAAAAGTCCTCAGGTGTTACTCAGAAAGTCTTCTGTGGCATTATTTGCTGTACCAAATTAATTTCACAGAACTTTCTAGGAACCCTGTAAACTGGCCTTCACTGATTACAGAAAACATTGAATTCCTTTTGAGATCAGGAATTTGAATGGAAGACTTTATACCCAGCTCATGCACAAGGTCTGAATTGCAGTAAATGTTCTTAAGCTATCTGGGAAATAGAGTAACTTAAAAAACTTTTCCTCTGAATACATGTGGATATTATTTGAAGCCACTGGAACTAAATGTTTTTAGTA